GTAGGATCTTACAGATTTGTGAATTATTTATTAATAAAATTTATACATTGATTTAAATAACTTCTAAACTAAGTTATTGTTTACTTTTTAAGCAACTAATATTTCTAGAAACAGCCGTAAGGAAATAAATATATATATATATATATATATATACATATATATATCTTCGTTATCTTCTTAATCCAATACAAATAGATAACTTTATTTCTTCTGATCAAATTTAAGTATAAGTACTTTAAAGTTCACCTGCTGGGTAATTTAAAGATCGATATTAGACAATAAATTATAAACAAATATTTGCTATGGAGCCTGTACCCTATTGAAACCTGTCAAAAATTCCTGCATAAAGTACTCGCACTTTGGAAGCATCATCCATAAAATTCAATTTACAGCGAAATCCCTTTTTACCGTTATTTTTACAGTAATATGTATTAAATCATAGTGATTCAGTGATTTTACGGAAATTATTACTGTAAAGATTACGGTAAATCAGATTTTTTGTTCTGTAACAGTTCTGGTAAAAATTAATCTTGCGGTAAAAAGTACCGACACCTTGCATGCCGGTACATTTAACCGTAATTTGATCCTAAATTTTTTGCAGATTACAGTGGGACCCATATTTATCAAGAAGCTCGAAAAACAGAAAAATGTTCGTTAAATCTGGATTCAAAACAAATTTAAACTTGAAAGATTTTACGTGACAAAATAAATCATTTAAATAACGCCTATTTTTGGTTTTATTATGCAGAATTATGTTTTTTATATTTTATTTTAAACTAGATTACCAGATTTTACCAGATTACTAGATTTTTTTCTCTGTTTAGGGTAGAAATCATAACATGTTTTGGCTTTTAATTAACAATAATACTTAGTTACCTTTCGAATCTTTTATTTTGTTCTATGAAATTATAAATTGAATAATAATCACAAAAAAAAATTTAAATTAAATATGCTTATTACTAAATATTTATACTAATAAAATATTTTTCTAAACTAAATACACTTTTTTTTAAAATTAAATATATGCCATATTTTAAAATTGAATATTTGCCATAGTTTGAAATTAAAATCATTCCATTAAAGTTTCTTAATAATACTAATTCTCTTAAATACCGGCTCTTAACTATACTTTATAATGAATAAAGCTAATATATTCTATCTTGACACAATTAATAAAATTAAATATAACAAAATGTAAAAAAATTCAATTGTTTTCATGAATTGAAATCATATCTATCTAAAATATTACATCAGTATAATATAGCCTGTTTGTTAATATTGTATGTATCTTGTATAAATATAACTTGTTTAACATATGTAAATCATTTGTAACAAATGTAATTATCTGTAATTTACTGAATAAACAACAACTCTTTTTAATTTTACAACAATAATATAGTCGTAAGTAATATTGTCGTACTCTTTTAACTTACAACTCTTTTTAATTTTTAAGTGCACAGTATTTTCTGTTTATATCCATAAACATAATTTTAAGTATATTAAGTACTTTTCCTCTCTGTTTTGGTATGCATTAATTATATTAAATGTTCTTAATTTCATTTCTGGATAACTGATGATTACACAACTTCTTAAGAAATTGGGGGGGGAAAATTAAATGTATATCACTTCATGAATAATAATAAAAAGTGATAAATCAAAAAAACTAATTAGAAAAGTTAAACAAACGGAAGTAATTATAACTGGTGCAAAAGCTAAGTCTAATGAACCTAAAATGTAGGATAATATTTAATGTACTAAAATCATTAATAAATCCCCATATAAAATGCCCAGAAAAATATTTATTTAAAAAAATATTACTTTTCACGAGAAATAAAGATAAAAAAAAAAGTAAGTCACCATTAAAGATTTTAAAATAATTTTTACAAAAAATATAATTAATTTATAAGAAAAAGCACGTAATTATTTTTTTTTCTCTTTGAGAAAAAAAAAAACACCTTCATCTTTGAAATTTTATTAATTTTCATATTTTCTTCCTATTTCTATCCCTTTTTTTCATGTTATTGCTATGAATTTAATTATAATATTTTATTTACTTTGAGGTTCTTTTTTCTTTGGTTTTTTTTAAAGGATGTTTTGTTTTCTATCCAAAATCCTTTTCAAAATGCGACATTTTTCATCATAGCTAAATTTTTTAATATTGTTCACATCTGCTGAAAAGCAATTTTAATTATTATAATTTCAACCAAAGAAAAACAAGGAAACAAATAAAGATGCAAGTTTTCAAAAAATATATAATTCAACAATTTAATGAACAACTTAGTGAACAAATATACAGGTGATTAGTACAAAACGAAGTATATTCAATAAGTATAATTCCGTAGTGTACATGATGAATGACTGGCTAATATCCCTGACGACAGCGTACATATAAATAAACAACCAAACATTTAAAACATGTCTGGCATTCGTAATTAAATAAATGAATAATAATTATATAGATCATTTGAGAAATTACATTTCTATTTCATTACATAAATAAGTGATCATATTAAGTATTATGAGAAACAATTATAACTTTTGTGATAGAAAATAAAAAAAAAATTATGTTTGAAATAAGAAATAAATTAAGACAACATTTTTAATATGAAGGAAAAGTAAGTGAAACTATGTAGCTTTTAAATAATTAGAATATTTTAGCTGGTTAATTAAAACTATGAAAAAATTTACTAATAAAAAGTAGCAACTAGGAGAAAATTAGACTAGAATATATTAAATTATACAACACAATTTAATAATTAAAAATAAATTTTTCGGAAGTGATGAAAATAAAAGTTAAGTTTGTTTAAGAAAAATCATTAAGAACACTTACACCGCTATCAAAATTAAAATAGTTTCAGTAAATATTGATATTGACTTATTTCAATATTCAATTTAAATTTCACCTTTAATTACCAATATTTAATAAATACTCTCGAATTACTCATTTACAAAACAATGGCTGGCTGCAAAGAGTGTTATTAAAGACATAAAGTTTATTAAAGACAATTACGATTTAATTTACTTTGAAATTGAGTGATGTATTTAGTTGAAAAATTAAGATTTATAAATATACTCTATTTAACTAAACATAAAGCGTATGATTTTAGTAATTATGTTACCCTAAATAATAATAATTCACAATTTAAATATCAAACCTATTCTCATAAAATTATGAAACAATACTAATTTTAGAACAAGTATTGTTAAATTAAATACTTGAAATACTCCTTCAAGTATTTAATTCAATAAATGTTGCCTACTTTTAGTATGATAAATGTTCAGACCAATTTAGCTGTACAATAAATAAAAAAATTCTTCGAAAACTTATTTTTTTTAAAAATATATATTTAAAGAAATTAATAACGGAAAAATTACAGAATATAGAAATTTGCAATAATCGATTATTTAAAATATATTAAATGCCAAGTAATTTATTTAATTATTCCGTAATTATATAAAATAATTTATTAAGGAGTAAAAAATATCCAGTCTTATCTCTTTAAAAATTTTGCAGGACTAATTTTTAAAAAATCTCTTAACTAGCTTCATTTACGTGTATTAATTACAGCTCTCAGATTAATAAACTTACAGATATCTTTTTTCTATTAGGGTATACATTCTTTCATTCCATTTGACGTCACAGCTGGTGACCTTCTCCTCCGTCAGGAGGCACTACTAGGGTTCTTTTGTGCTTTGGAATGTAGCTTGTAATACGGTATTATGCCGAGCTGAGAGAAAAACCGGCTCCAAGTAGTAGCCGCATCAATTGCTGCCTAATTTACTTTGCATCCATTATGAAGTAGTTGGGAATGGGTGGGGAAGAGGTCAGCTTCTTTTAACCATTCTTTCTTTTTTTATCCTCTGCTGGTCTGTCGTTCCCAGCCTTCACGCTTGGATGGACACATCCCTGGGTAAATATTGTCAGTGAATTCTACTCTCAGAATGATGTTAACGGTCGTGGCACATAGGTAAATAGATGGGGAAAAGGTAAGAAGAAAAAAAATGTGAGAATTTTTGAAAGCGTTGCACAGTTTTAATAGATAGGTGATTGTCACTTTTAGATGTAGTTAAGGTGATTAAAATTCCAAATAAGAGTAATCCTTAAGCACACTACTCACAATAATAGAGATACAATTCAATCACTTATGAAAATTAGTAATATGTTATGAAAGCAAGATTAACTTAATATTTTGCGCAACATTAACTATGAAGAATGTTTTTTTTTAATATATAAGATTCGTTTTGGAGACAAGAATATTGTCAGATGGTATCTATATGACCAGAGAAATATGTTACGGTAATCATAGCAAGAAGATTAACATTTGTCAGTGAAATACGTTTGACACGATTCGTCAAGGAAACCATGGCATCCTTTGGGATGATTTCCACCATCAGACGAATCAGTTGAGCAAGATTCACACTGGAAACCATAGCAAGTAGATTGTTTACTTTTAAAAACCGTGGCAAGCAAGACTGGATTGTTCACAGGTGGTATCCATTGGGAATAGTAAAGGAGAGGGCATTGTTTACAGGAAGAATCCTTTCAGGTAAACCATGGCAATCAGATTGTTTACAGGTATAATTTTAAAGTGGATGGTTGATTCTATTCTTAATTATTGCACATGAAACCAAATAACAGTGTATGCTATTAGGATTGATCAATGGTATAAAATGGAAAAAAAACTACACTTCTTCACCATTAGCATGAACTCCGGGATCAATAAATATTCCAAGGGTCGTTGAGGTCAATAAGCGATCCAGGGATAAACACAAAATAGAGGCAGATTTTCATTGGATCTACAAAAATCCTCTGTGATGATGAATTAAATATGACGCCCTTAGGGAATGATATGCTTTTCATATTGGCACTTATCAAAACAGTTCTTTATTATTCTCAGCTGAAGAAACGCACCAGCACGTTCATAGCTGAATTCCAAATTTTTTTCAATTTGAAAATAATAATACTAATCAAATGAGCATAATTTCTAATGACTAGATTTTTACCTTCTGGAGTTGGCAATAAGATATAGCGCTATGTCTTGATGTCCGCCATAGGCAGCTATATGAAGAGCACTCCATCCATCTCGATTAGCTAATCTGACATCAGCTCCAAATTTCACTAATAGTTTTACCAGCTCCAGATTACCGTCCATGCAGCTTTGGTGGAGAGCTGTCTGTCCTTCTTTGTCGTAAAAGTTCACGTTTCCTTCCCATCTCTGCAGAATCTTTTGTAATTCATGGGTGTCCCCTTTCCTGACGGCTGTCAGGAATATCTCTTGGTTTGTAACACCTGTTTGAACATCGGCTTGACTCATGATTGTAATATAAGTTAGCGAATTGGAAATCCAAACTTAGAAAGCTACTTTGTAATAGTCTCTAAAAATAATCCACAATAAGATGAGAATAAATTATTTTTGAGTGTATCGAGGGGTTTGTAACAAAAATAAGACGATGTAATCTAGCTATTCTACACGCGAGAGCAGCGTGAAGCGAATGATGGAGGAATAAGAGATGAGGTGGATTTTGTTCTTGGATGCTGGAGCGGATAAGGGTTATACTACTTACGAATCGCTTAGTCGCCAATCTCGCCAAAACAGTTAGGCGAGATTATTTCGTCGACAGGTTGTTATGGTATATTTTTTGCGAAGCTCCGAAGATTTCCTGCAATAATAAAAATTATTAATTTAAAATAATTAGAAGATTCGAAAGGAAAGAGCTTCCATAATACAAAATTATTTTTCAAATTTTTTTATATGTACAATTATTTAAACTTTTATGAAATTTTGGTTCAAAAAAATTTGATATTTGCTTCATAATTTAAAAAGCACATTTACTATACGAAGGCTCAATGCATATTTGCCTTAAATAGTACTTTATTCTAATAGTTAATTGCAATTTTATTTCCATTTATAGCTAAAAATAATACTTAAAGTGACATAACATTGAGCATATAAATTTTTTTTTATTGTTTATAATTTAATGATTGTTTATAATTCATGAGCTTTAAGAAAATTATAGTCATTTGTTATTTATTTCAATGAAACTATTGCTCTTCAAATAAACTAAAATAATATTTAGCATTCATTACTGACAATTTCATTAATGATAGATTATTAATCAGTAAATGAAATATTTCGGACAAAAATTTATATGTTGCATTCAATAATTAACATATATTTCAATGACATTTTTAGAACTATTGAAAAGTGAAAAATGATAATCAAACACATGACACTGGGAAGTGATTAAGTTTATGTAGAGTATAAAATTTAATAATTTATTCTAAGAAATATTTTTTTTCTTATTGATTACCCAAATAAGAATGCGTATTGTCTTTTTTTTTTATTTTTAATTTCTAGTCATCATTTGTGCTAATTTTTTAATTTAAACAATGCAATTTTAAGAGTTAATTTTCAAGTTTGAAAAAACAGTTGTTCAACAAAGTTTGAAAAATAGTTGTATTCAACTTTCATTAAAAAATAATTGAACAATGTGCTTACATAACTTTCTTCTAAAAAATAATTAAATATTAAAGGAACTAAATAATTATTTTGAAAATAACCAAACTAATTTTTAAAAATAGCTATTCGATTTAAATTTACTTCTACAAATTAAAACTTCTTTCAACAGTTGTAAAAATGTTACGTATATTTTACAAGAATTTTAGACATTTACAAAACTATCCACACTTAAACAATCATGCTCATCATCATCATTGGCGTCACGACAACCCAGGGTGAGCCTTGGTCTTCATTATGTTACTTTAGTAATAATTTCAATAAAAACTTAGTTCGTCGAATTCAAATTATAAGATCAAAATTTTATTAAATGCAATCCTATAAATTTATTGCTTAGAATAAAATCGAATTCAAATCGAATTATAAATAAATAACGCTATTTCTTGTAATATTCTTATTTATTTTTCATTTAAAACAATAATTTACTATTTACAGGATGGTATTTAAGTCTAATCAATTTAAGTGGGTTATTTTTCATGGTTATATTCGTATTTTAAATTATAAATCTAAAGAAGCGAAAAAAAAAAACACCCCAGGAATACCTTGATAAATTTAAATTTATAGATATCGGTCGACTTAAATAAATAACGATAAAGCAAATTTTTTTTTCGGGAAAAAAAAGACATTTAGCTGTCTCAAATTTATTCTAAAGATATTTCTAAACACTAAACAAACTTCAGCAATTTAAAATAGTTACTTTAAACTATTGAGCAACAGCATTTATATCAATTATTTTTTAATCTTCTCCCATGGAAAAAAAAAACAATATGCGGGCTAAAGCTGATAAAGTGGCAAACCTACTCTCTCTGACGTCAAAGCTCCGCCCACCATTTTCCTGGGAGTGAATATCAAAACCAATCGAGAGAGTTTATCAAAATATTCCCACACTTTCTCCGCCCACCTGTGCAAAAATTCAAGAAAAGTGTGCCAAATGGCAGCGTGGGAAAGGCGGAAAAAGTTACATTTTGCTGTTTTCATCTCGATTTGCCAACCGTGAAGGGGCAATTCTGAGAAACAGGATAACGAATTGTGTGAATATCGGCAAATTAGCCTTCCGTGCTACCTGTTGTATACTCCTCTATTACATTCATGAATGTTTGTTTTGTTTTGCCTTTTTTTTTCTTTCCCCCGTTCTCGTCTCGTTTACAAAGATCAAAAAAGAAAGTAAAGATTCAGCTTTTGATAATTTTTTTTTTTCAGTCTGTTTATTTTATTTTTAAATCCTCATTTATAGTCTCATTTGGTTTTTTTTGAGACAGTTATTTTTTCTTTCCAGTTCTAATAAGCGTTTAAGCAACTTTCAACAGTGCGTTTTATTTATTTCTTTTTTATTAACATGTAAAATGAGTATTAATAAAAAGTATGAGTACGATTCAAAATAAATAATTAAAAAAAATTGTATTTGTCTTTGTTTTGCTCATAGACACTTAATTTTTTTAATAATTTTTATTTTTCATAGATAAAATGTTGGACAATTTTTTTTTCCATAGATAAAATTTTTGACGAAATTTTTGATTTTATTTTTTTATACATAAAATTTTTGACGAAATTTTTGATTTTATTTTTTATACACAAAATTTTTGACGAAAACAAAAAGAAAGAAAGAAAATGTGTGGATATTAGCAAAGTAACCATCCGTGCCACCTGTTGCATGCTCTTCCATTACATTCATGATTGTTTCCTTTCCTCCCCATCTTCATATCGTTTGCAAACATCAAAATAAAATAAAAAAGAAGAAATTTTTATTTTTTTAGTCTTTTTATTTTATATTCAAATCTTAATTTATAGTTTCATTTGCTCTTTATTGAAACAATTTTCTTTCCATTTATATTCCTCGTCTTAAATATTAGTAGTTTTCAACACAGGGTGATATTATTTATTTACTATTAATGATCAAAATGAGTTATTAAATATATTTGTACCCTTGTTCGGCTAAGAGAAGGTCAATTTTTTTTAATATTTCTATTTTATTTTCGGCGCTAACGCTTTTTGATGTTTAAAATAAGTCTAGTCTCGAAATTGATTGGAAAGAATAATATATTTACAGGCATCCTGATCTTTTAAGAATTAGAGGTGACAAAATTTTAACGAAGATTTTCGGTGAAATTTATCTATACATTGGCGGAGTAGAACAAATAAATGGGTTGGTATATATTAGGAATCAAACATGGTTATAAATAAAAAGAAACTCAATGGAAACTTAAGAAAGGACTCGGGAAGAAAGTTCAAACAGTTATTAGACGAAATTTTTTTTATATTCCTCAGAAGTTTCCATATCTTGAGGAAAACCTTAGAACTAAACGAAAAGAACAAATTTTATTTTATTTTATAACCGATGATTAACAGACGATCCAATTCTGAGTATCAATGTTCTACTCCGTTGCCTTACAATTTCGAACATAACCCAGAAGACAAGGGAACTCCTGGATCAAACATTAGGATAAACTAATCTTCGTGAAGGATTTTTTGATGGAACTGACCCCTATTTGCGTTACATGGGAAGGGAAACCATAAGCACCTCCCACGGTTAGCCTGACGGCTAGAGGACAGTAATCCATGATCCGTCTACGACTGAGGATATTTTATGTCAGTGTGAGCCGGGAGCAGAATTCGTATCAATCATCCACCGCTGGAATTCGAACCTGAGTCCCCTCATTGGGAGGTGAATGCCCTCCCTGAGCCACTGTGGCTCCAAAAAAAATATTAATTAAAGAGGGTCAGAAATTATTCAAAATTAATAACTAAAAAAAAAAGGCAACCAACAGAGAAAAATAGTTTAAAATCTTAAAGCAGGGCAGGACTCTACAAGGTCAATAGCGCCAGGATGATAACGAGGAGGACAGACACTTGTTCTTATTAAAGAATAATGAACAATTTGTATTGTTATTTCTCAAATATTTTTCGACACGAGTCTATTAGACTTGGCTTAGATAATGTATAATTCAGCCATGATCAGAATTTTTTTTGCGATCTTGGTCATAATTATATTTTTAGAAGTCATATTTCGAAAATATAAAATTAGTTTGACGAAACTGAGAGAAGGTGAACGGTGATTATTAGAAGATTAGTTGTTAAGATTGCTGTAAGAAAAATACTTAGTAGACTTTCCTTAGGCAAATATTTATTCAGGAAACCATCTTGTGAAAAAAAATTTTTTTTCAATATCAAATTTAGATACATTGCTTATATGATCTAAACATCTCGTATAAGTAATGTTCGATTCTTTTAAAAATCGGATTTCGAAAATATAATTTCAATTGGGGGAGAAACAGGAAAGGAAAGACTAATATTAGGAAAATAGTCATTATTTAAGGAAGGATATTAAAAGACTATGCTCAGGCAAAATGTTTTTCCGGAATTCATTTTATAATTTTTGTTCAAGCCTCTAGCATAGATACATTGTCTATAAATAATAGATTTCAGAAACACAAAATCAATCTGGGGGAACTTAGCACAGGAGAAAGTGTTTAACAAAATCAAATTCATTTAGGTAATCAAACTGGTTTTAATATCTTTATTTACACATTCTTCAATTTCTATTCATTAGATTTTTAAAAAAAAAATTTTTTTTTTCCTTATAAATATTAATTCGCAATAACTTAATTTTTATATTCTTTTTATTTCATTTTTGACATAAATTCTAAAAATATGTGTGATGGACGAAGAGAAAGAAACACCTCGCATGATATTATTAAAAGTAATAAACAACTTCTTCTTCTTCTTCAGAAGCGCAACAGCCCTTTGCAGGCCTTGGCTGTCTCAACAGCACGCCTTCTCCAGCTCCCTCTGTCCATGCC